CAGTCCTAGTGTGTCCATTCTGAGGAGTTGAGAGCAGACAGAGCACATGATAAAACATGTTGAAACCTAATCTCTATGATCCCTGCTCTCCACATTGCATGTATTCAGTATTTAGCTTTTTTAACTTTTCTTAACATTTATTTTTTTTATTGTAACAGTAAGAAAAACTCAGTCTTGAGATTGACCCAGAAGAATAAAATTGACTCTTCCTTAAAATTGTCTGTATGTCATTAGCCCAAGTGTCAAGACCTTTATCCCCTCATTTCTTAAAGGGTCTGAGCATTTCAAATGTTTATCAATGTCTTTAGCCTACCCACATATGTTTGGAGTTGGACAAGGCTTCACCCTGTTCTTTTGGCATTTGTGTATGTTTAATGGTTCTATCATTGATCTTTAAATAACAACAAATTTATGTCTATGAAACCAATGTAAAAATATATGATATTTGCAAATTGCTGATATCTCTCCACAAAAAAATTGCAATAAAGAGAACAGACTAATCATGTGCATACAAGACTCAGAGTTTCAAACACATATTTTCATCAGTCATGACTTTCCACCACCAGTCATCATCCCTGGCCCATGACTGACTGGGTCTCTGTCTTTGTCATTTCCCTGTTGATATCTGTTAAATCATTATTCTTAGAAAATTATAAAAGTGTATGTGATTCACAAAAACCCACGAATAACAATCTTGAAAATATCTATAACATTAGTTTACAGAATATTTCCAATATAGACTGTATCTTTTCCAATAATCAACCTGAATCCTGCACTTCATCAATTAACAAAACGTTTCATATGTGTTTATCATTGAGCCATGGTTACCTTTCTGATTAATTTAGTACTCTTTAACAATACAGTAAATTCCCTTAAATAACCCAATCCAAGATGACTTTAATTACTCATCTTGGTCTCTTTCCTAACACAGAAGGAACATGACAATTTGATGACAAATGAATTTGAAATACCTGAGAGCATCTGCTCTCATGAATAACACACAGACAACATGATAAAAATATCGACCTACTCTCTCCACTCATCCATGTATACCACCATTCATTTGCAGTCATTTAGGTGTTTATAATTTATACTAATATTTATTTTTCTCTTAATGAACCAAATGTCAAAGTTGTAACTAAGTAACTATTACTTATCATTGGCTCTATCATTCTTACTCTAAGACATGTGCACTTCAATCTTTCATTTTCCATTCCAATATATGTTAACTTTATTTTTATTTACTATATATTTTAACACTGAACAATGCTTCCCCGTTTATTATTCATTTATACATCTGCCATTGATTACTTCCAATAACACTTTCAAATATTCCTGTGCACAAACCAAGAACATGATACTGATGTATTTTTGACATCTCACTATAGAACCACATCAAATCAGGAGAAACAACTGGATTTCTTTTGTTGGACCTCGGAGTTCTAGACCTTTAGTGTTATTCACCCCAGACTAATATGTCACCAGTCATCACTGGTCCTCCTTATGACCATTCATGTCCACACATTTTTACTAATTCATCAATACGCTATTAATAATAAAATATGTAGAAATCACAAAAACTCAAAACAATATCCTTGAAAAATCTCCAATATTTGTCTTCTTCCCACTGATAATACATCTTTCATCAACTGACCTCAGAATTTCCCATATAGAGTTACTGACATAATGCTTCATATTAAATACGTTCTTTTATTTGGCATGCCTGGCAATCACTGATCATACTTCACATGTTTTAATAATGCAGTGAAAATCTTTTTAAAAAACACAAAACCCAGAAAAGAACTTTGATTATTACTCACATGCCTCTCCATGCTCACAACGCACAGATGCAACCACGGAGCTCCTGCCCATGGGGATGCTTAAATCAGCTCAAATGCGATGACTCTGAGTACCAGACACAGCAGAGGACAAAAAGATTGAGACGTGTTCGTTCACTCTTGAATTACACCTTTCGTTTAGTCGATCAATTATGTAATGTGTATTTTTATTTTCTAAGTAAATGGAAAAATACTGGTCTACCCACTGATAGGGAACATAAACATAGACTATTACTTACCAGTAACTATTTATCATCCTTAGACAAAGAAAAACACTTTGTACCATTTATTTCTTACTGGATATCTGTTTTCAATATATCTTAAGTAATATTTCTTGAGAAACTGCATATTTTTATAATTGGACAACACACACCCCCTTCACTTTTATGTTTTTATATTTGTTTATTATTTCACTGCTCTGTTATAAAAACAAAAAGAAAATAAAGGGACATAAAGGCCAAGAACACCTTTATATAATTCCAGAAATCCGTCTACAGGATCACTTCAAATAGGGCCATGGACCAGATCCTTTTGTGCTGGACCTCAGAGTTCCAGACACATATTCATCGTGTATCACTCATATGCCACCAGTAGTCTCATTCATCCAATAGTGTTCTCTTTTTCTTTATTCAATTCTAATTGCTTATTTACTCATTACCTTTATATAATTCCAGAAATCCGTCTACAGGATCACTTCAAATAGGGCCATGGACCAGATCCTTTTGTGCTGGACCTCAGAGTTCCAGACACATATTCATCGTGTATCACTCATATGCCACCAGTAGTCTCATTCATCCAATAGTGTTCTCTTTTTCTTTATTCAATTCTAATTGCTTATTTACTCATTGACGAATTCACTAGTAATAGTTTTTTTAACCATACTATTCACAAAAACCCATGATCACTGTGAAATCCCTAACCTGTATATGGAATCACTCTTATAGAAATGTATTTTTCATTAATTGTCCTACATATCACATATATTAATCCATACAATGTTCTATGTCAATTCAATATTATCACTGGGCTCCAGCTGACCAACATTATTATATATGGTATTTTTAAAAATAATATACTGAGTATTTCCAAGAAGAATCAGTGAAACCCAGACAACATTTTGACTATTCCTCACACTGGCCTCTGTGCTCCTGACGCACAGACGCAATCACAGAGCCCACCCCCAGGGAGCAACGCCTACCTCAGCTACAGCGTGTCCTTGCTGAGAAGTGCAAGGCACTATCATTGATTAAAACAAGTTCAGATCTATCTCCATTGATCCTTTGCCCCATTTAACTTGCTCAATCATTTGGGTATTTATAAATTATTCACAGTGTGGATATTTTTTGCTCTTGACAAAAGGAATGCTCAGTCTACAGACCACTCTGAAATACAAAATAGACTCTTACTTACCCATATCTCTGTGATTCTTTGACAAAGATGTAATAGCATTGGTCCATTTATTTTTTAATGGACCTCAGCATTTTAACTCATATTAGTAGTTCTTGCCTCACTAGGTATGTTCATATAGGACAATGCTTCACCCTTTTTTCTTTATCTACTCTATATTTCATTCATGGTTTTATGATCGATCATTAATAATAATAAATCTAAACCTATGAAACCAGGTAAGAACATAACTTTTGTATATTCCTCTCATTTGGCTATAGATCAGCTATGGAGAATACACTAGGCATTACTTGAAGCTCAGAGTTCCAAACATGCAACAGTCATCATCCATAGCTCGTACACCACCACTGGGTCACTAAAGGCCCACTTTCTTCACTCTTTTCTACATTTGCACCAATTAATTCATTAATTCAGTGATAATAAAATATAGGATGCACAAAAAACAAAGGACAAGATCTTGAGTAACCCTAACTTCTATGTATAGAATCATTGCTAATATAGATTATGAGTCATTCTCTAACCAATCTCAGTGTAACATTATCAGTTAACCAGCATAACGATTCATATTTGTCATTGGTCCATAATTAATTCTTGATTATATTCATTAATTTTTAATAAGACTGTGAATACCTTTAAGTAAGTGGCCCAACCAAGAGGAGAACTTTGGCTACTATTCACACTGGTGTCTGCTCTTACAGCAGAGATGTCACCAGGCAGTGGGTGACTTTGAAAGACAGTGTGATCAGCTCGAGTGTGTCCATTCTGTGGAGGGCAAGCAGGGCAGATAATAAAATGAGACATTCCTCCATTAATCTTGCCTTACATCTTTCATTTAGGCAGGTGCTTAGGCAACCATGATTGAAGCACACTTATTTCATCGTCTTTTATGAAAATGAACCACTTCACACTTGCCCCCACCCAGAACATAACATCATCTGTAACTTATCCCGACTGTATCATCCTTAGCCAAAGAGGTTACTGTCATGTGCCATTTATTTCTCTTTGGACTTCAGTGTTTTCAAATTATATTCATAGTTTGTCTTGCCTTCCCACATAGTTTTTAAATTGCACGGTGCTTCTACAATTCAGCCTTATTTTTTATATATTCCCTCATTGATATTTCACTGATGATTATAAAAAGAATCAAAATGCATGAAGAGAAAGACCGTATTTCCTGTGTTGGACCTCAGAGTCCCAGACACTTATTATTCACCATCCATGCCTCATACGCCACAGTCACCATCATCGATCCAGAAAGACCACTTTCTCTTCACTCATTTCTACATGTTTATTGATTAATTCATTAATTCACTAACCATAGTTTTAAAACTGTACAATTCACAAAACCCCAAGAAGGAACTGTTATCCCTAATATGTATCTAGAATCATGTGCCCATCAGTATATCTGTCACTAATTATCCCACTTCATAAATGCTCTAATCAACATAATCCTTCCTATCAACCCTGTATTCATCACCAGGAAACAGTTGGCCCTCTTTGATTATACTTTGTACTTTTTATATAAAAAGTATATAGTATACTTATACAATTATCCTTAACAAAACACCAAAACCAGGACAACTTTGATTACTAGTCACGTTGGTCTCCTAGTTTCTAAAACAGAAATACAACCAACCCTCAGGCTCTTGATCAAGAAGAATCTGTGCAGCAGGTGGAATTTGTCCATTCTGAGAAGTACAAAGCAAAGCAGATTATAAAAATACTTTAAGCATTCTCTCCATTAATCTTTGCTTTTTACCTTTCATTTAATCAGTCTTGGCAATCATTAATTTGGTATGAATATATTTCAGTTAAGAAAACAAACAACTTTGATTTTACTACTGACCCAGAATCTGAAGTCATTGTCTATGACATATAACACTATCTGTGTCATCCTCAGCCATTGAGCTAACAGTCATGTACCATTTACTTGTAATTAAACATCAGGGTTTTCATAATACATGAGAAGTATTTCTTGCCTAACCACATATTTTTATAATTGGACAATACTTCACTCTGTCTTTATTTATATATACATAGTTATAGATTCTCACATTTATCAAACTGTAATAATAGAATGAAAATACATGAATGCATAGACCAAAAAAAAAAATCCCCTTGCTTATTCCTGACATGCATTCAAAGGACGCCTTCAAACAATGAAAACAGACTAGATTTCTCTTCTGTCGGACCTCAGAGTTCCAGACACGTATTCATCGTAAATGACTCATACGCCACCAGCAGTCATCATTGATCCAATACTGTCTCCCTTTTCCTTCATTTATTTCTAATTGCCTATTGATTAAATCATTAATTCACTAATAATTTTAAGTGTTGTAATTCACCAAAACTCAAGAAGAGCTTTTATGTCCCAAATCTCTACATAAATTATTCTCACATTACTGCACCTCTTTCATTATCCTCAGTTTTCCACACGTGGATCAGTCAGTGTTTCACATGCCCGTATTTATCACGGAGATACAGTGCCCCCTTTTATTATGTACAGTACATTTTAACAAAACAATGAATTACTTTATAAAAAACACTTAAATCAAGAAAACAACTTCAACTACTACTCACATGAATCTCCATCCTCCTAATACACATATAGAGGGGCAACCATGGAGCTTGTGACCATGGGACATATTTAAATCTGCTCAGGTGCATCCATTCTGAGGAGGTACAGGGCACAACAAGTGATAAAAAAGATTGAGACATTATGCCAACTGATCCTTACATTCCACCTTTAATATAGCCAGTCAATTATTAAATAGTAAATTGGAATAATGTATGTTTTTCATAACTAAGTGAAAAATATCAATCTAGCCACTGATAGAGAATATGACCGCTGACTTTTATCAATAATTATTATACATTTTTACCATATATTCCATTACAGGAATGATCATATATTCCCTTACAGATGTCAACATCTTAAATACACATTAATATTATTCCGTGCATAATCATATATTTTTATAATTAAACAATATTTCGCCACCTTCATCATGATTTGTTTATTATTTCATTGATCCAATTACAAAAATAGAAAGAAAATGCATGAACATAAAGCCCCAAAACAAGATCCTGTGTAGTCCTGACATCTGTCTAGACAATCACCTCAAACAGGACCATGGACCAGATTCCATTTTTGTTGGACCTCAGAGTTCCAGACATGCAGTCATCGCAAATGACTCATACGCCACCAGTAGTCATCATCGATCCAATATTGTCCGTCTTTTCTTTCACTAATTTCCATGTTATTTATTAATTTATTAACTCACTAATAGTAATTTAAAAACTCTAGTATTTACAAAACCCCAAGAAGAGCCATGATATCCCTCACATATATATATACACATATAGATAGATAGATAGATAGATAGATAGATATAAAATCATTCTCACAGCAATATGTGTATTTGTGAAATTATGGTGTGCATTTATGCATTAATCAACACAATGTTTCATAAAATGCACTGTCACTGAGCTACACTTGGCCTTCTGTGATTATATATGCAAATTTTGAATAACACACTGAATACACTGAAAAACGTAATCACCGAAGCCAAGAAAAGAAACTATTACTCACGTGGGTCTCTGGTTCCGACACACAGACGCCATCACAGAGCTCGGCCTGTGGAACAATGCTTCATCAGCTCGAGCATGTTCTGTTTTGAGAAGTACAAAGCCCAGTTGATGATGCAAAAAAATTGGTAAATAAATACCATTTTTATCCCCATTGATTCTTGCTTTCCACATTTTATTTATTCATTTAGAAATTTATAAAATTTTCATAATGTACATTTTCCTCTTCACAAAAAATCTCAAACTTGAGATTAACCCAGAATAAAATTCACTCTTACTTATTCATGTCTATATGATCCTTGGCCAAAGAAGTGACGCCCTAATCTGTTTATTTCCTAGTAGGCATCAGGGTTTGCAATTTTTATTAGTATTTCTTCCCTCTTACCATCTGTGTCCGTAGTTGAACAATGTCTCACCCTTTTATCTTTATCTGGTTCTCATATACCTTTAATGGTTCTATCATTGAACCATTTACAATAATAAATCTAAATCCATGAACCCAAAGTAAAAACAATATCTTTGTACATTCCTAACATCTGTCCATAGGCTCAAGTAAACAGAGAAAATGGAATGTGTAACGTGTTGGACCTCAGGGTTTGGGAGACCTTATCATTCCTCACCCATGACTCCCCCACCACCAGTCACTTGCACTGGTCCATTAGAGACCCACTTCATTCATTTCTACATTTGTAGCAGTTAAATCATTACTTCATTGATAATAATAAAACAAATACATGACTAACAAAAACTAAGAAACAACTTGAATATCCCTACCTTCTACTTATAGAATGATTGCCATCACAGATTGTATCTCCCATTAATCAATGTCACACAGCATCAATTAATCAATTAATAATGTTTCATATAATGTTTACCAATGAGCTAAAATTTACTTTTTGAGTATATTTATCTTAAACAACCGACCCAAACCAAGACAAGATCTCTGATTATTACTCACCTTGGTCTCTCTCCTAACACAGAGCAGCATCACAGTCTTGACCAGGGCAGAGCCAAAATTAGCCAGAGCATCCGTTCTGAAGAATACCAAGAGGAGGTGAAAAAATTGAGACGTTCTCCCCACCGATTCTTGCTTTACAGCCGTCATGTAATCAAGCACTTAGGCTCCTGGAAGACTTTAGAAATTTATAAAATTTTCATAATGTACATTTTCCTCTTCACAAAAAATCTCAAACTTGAGATTAACCCAGAATAAAATTCACTCTTACTTATTCATGTCTATATGATCCTTGGCCAAAGAAGTGACGCCCTAATCTGTTTATTTCCTAGTAGGCATCAGGGTTTGCAATTTTTATTAGTATTTCTTCCCTCTTACCATCTGTGTCCGTAGTTGAACAATGTCTCACCCTTTTATCTTTATCTGGTTCTCATATACCTTTAATGGTTCTATCATTGAACCATTTACAATAATAAATCTAAATCCATGAACCCAAAGTAAAAACAATATCTTTGTACATTCCTAACATCTGTCCATAGGCTCAAGTAAACAGAGAAAATGGAATGTGTAACGTGTTGGACCTCAGGGTTTGGGAGACCTTATCATTCCTCACCCATGACTCCCCCACCACCAGTCACTTACACTGGTCCATTAGAGACCCACTTCATTCATTTCTACATTTGTAGCAGTTAAATCATTACTTCATTGATAATAATAAAACAAATACATGACTAACAAAAACTAAGAAACAACTTGAATATCCCTACCTTCTACTTATAGAATGATTGCCATCACAGATTATATCTCCCATTAATCAATGTCACACAGCATCAATTAATCAATTAATAATGTTTCATATAATGTTTACCAATGAGCTAAAATTTACTTTTTGAGTATATTTATCTTAAACAACCGACCCAAACCAAGACAAGATCTCTGATTATTACTCACCTTGGTCTCTCTCCTAACACAGAGCAGCATCACAGTCTTGACCAGGGCAGAGCCAAAATTAGCCAGAGCATCCGTTCTGAAGAATACCAAGAGGAGGTGAAAAAATTGAGACGTTCTCCCCACCGATTCTTGCTTTACAGCCGTCATGTAATCAAGCACTTAGGCTCCTGGAAGACTTTCATTTCATTTTATTTAATGAAAACGAACTACTTAGAACTCACCCCACCCAGAACATAAACATCGTCTGCACCTTATCCTGTCTGTATCATCCTTCGCCAAAGATGCTACAGTCATGTGCCATTTATTTCTCTTTGGACTTCAGCGTTTTCTATATTAATATTATCTCTTGCCCACCCCACCCCCCACACACATATTTTTTAAACTGGACAATGCTTCTACAATTCAGCCTTATTTTTTATGTATTTTCTCATGGATGTTTCATTGATCCAATTATAAAAAGGATCAAAATACATGAAGAGAAAAGACCGTATTTCCTGTGTTGGATCTCAGAGTTCCAGACACATATTATTTGCTGTCCAAGCCTCATACGCCACAGTCACCATCATCGATCCAGAAAGACCACTTTCTCTTCACTCATTTCTACATTGTTTATTGATTAATCCATTAATTCCCTAATCATAGTTTTAAAATTCTATGATTTGCAAAAAGTCACAAGGGCCTTTGATATCCCTTATTTCTCTAGAACCATTATTCTACCATTATATCCCTGTCATATTTATTAAGTTTATCATATATGTATGAATCAATATAATGTTTCCTATTAATCCCATGTTTGTCAGTAGGACAGAGTTGGCCTTCTTTGAGTGCATTTCAATATTTTTATTAATACAGTGAATACTCTTAGACAAATCACCCAAAGACAGTAACTTTGATTGGGACTCACACTGGGCTCCAGGTTCCTAAAACGCAGAGGCGCCCCGGGGGCTTGTGCTGGAGGGAGGACCCTCGCGCAGGTGTGGGGCGCCTGTCCTGAGGCTGCGCAGAGCGAATGAGCCAACAGGGTGACACATTTCTCCACTGGTCCTTGCTTCTCACCAAATCATTGATTTGGTATTTATTTTTTTCCCTAAAGAAAATGAACTTCAGTTTTACAACCGACCCAGAGCATGAGCATTTTCTATCAGTTACCCTGCCAACGTTGTTCCTTAGCCTTAAGGGAACAGTCACGTGCCACTTGTTTCAACTGAAACTTCAAGTTTTCATAATATATTAATAGCATTTTTGTCTCATCACATGTTTATAATTGGACAGTGCTTCACTCCACCCTTTTTATTTTTATGTTTTTAGATTTTTCACTTATCCAGTTATAATAATACATGAAAATGCATGAACATTAGGATCAAAAATAAGATCTTTGTGTATTTCTGACATGTGGACTGTGTGCCTTCAAACAACAGGAATGGACTAGATTTTTCTTCTGTTTGACCTCAGAGTTCCAGACATGTGTGCATCATAAATGACTCATATGCCACCAGTAGTCATCATCAATCCAATATTGTGTATCTTTTCCTCATTATATTCTATTTCTGTTGATTAAATCATTCACTAATAATCTTAAAACCTTATTATTCACAAAACCTGAGATGAATCTTATGTCCTTCAACTGAATATAGCTTAGTTCTCACACCAGGGTCTCTTTTATTAGCTATCCTGTTTTCCTTGTATGCATTAATCAATATAATTTTTCATAAATCTGATATTTAATGCTGAGATACTGTTTCCTCCTTTACTTATATTCCATACTTTCCAACAATGTAATAAATAATCTTGAACGCATAACACTGAAACCAAGAAAAGAACTTTGACTGTCACTCAGATTAGTCTCTGAGCTCCTATTAATAAGTGGCAAATGTAGAGTTTGTGACCGTGGAAGGCGTTCAAGTCACCTCAGTGGTTTTGTTCTGAAGAGTATGGAGAAGAGCAGATGGTAAAAGAGAATTAAGGTAAAATCTCCACTGATCCTTGCTTTCTGCATTTTTATTTACTCAGTACTTATATATTTGCTATTTTTTCTTAATATATGATTTTTATCTTAACAAAAGAAAAATCCAATCTTGAGACTGACCCTGATCAATCAAACTAACCCTTATTTACATGTTTATATGAAACTTGGTCAAAGAGTTGATTTCTTGACTTATTTATTTATTAATGAGCATCCGTGTTTTCAATTTTTATTACTAATATCTTTTGCCTCACTACATATGTTTATAGATGGACAGTGCTTCACTCTCAGCTTTATACATACTTATTTATATTTGTATAATGGTTCTACCATTATTCTGTAAATAACAAATCTGTATCTGTGAAATCAATACAAGAATATGATCTTTCTTATATTCCTAACATCTCTCTAAAGAAACAATTTCAACAGAAGTAACAGACCAGCTACGTCCTGCCACATCTGAGCCATGACCTCAGTCGCAGACACGTGTTTTCATTGTCCATCAGTCATCATCATAGTCTATATATGAGTCTCCTTTTCTTCACTCATTTCTACAGTTGTATCAATCAAATCATTTACTTATTGATAATAATAAAAATAATACATGATTCACAAATACCCCAAAACAGAAGACAAGCCAACAGGTACATGAAAAGGTGCTCAGCCTCCCTAAGCATCAGAGAAATGCAAATCCGAACCACAGAGAGAGATCCCCTCACACCTGCTGGAATGGCTATGACCAAACAGACAAGAAATCACAAGTATTGGCGAGACTGTGAAGAAAAGGGAACCCTTATGTACTGTTGGTAGGGATGTAAATTGGTGAAACTACTATGGAAAACAGTATGGAAGTGCCTCAAAAAATTACAAATAAAACTACCATGATGCAGCAATTCCACTACTGGGCATTCACCCGAAGAAAATGAAAACACTAACATGAAGAGGTATATGAACCCCCACACTCACTGCAGAATTATTTAGAATCGCCAAGATACAGAAACAACCAAAGAGTCCACTGATGGGTGAATGGATAAAGAAAATGTGTATTTACACAATGGAGTATTACTCAGCCATTAAAAAGAAAAACCACTTCCCATTTGCAGCAACAAGGATGGATCTTAAGGGCATTATGTTAAGTAAGTCAGGCAGAGAAAGACAAATACCATATGATCTGAAGAATACATGAAATCTCAAATAAGAAAAGACAAGAAAAAAAGAGCTTATACATAGAGAACAGATTGGTAGATGCTGCAGTTGGGGGGTGGAATATGGGTGAAATGGGCAAAGGGGATCAAAAGTACAAACTTCCAGTTATAAAATAAATAAATCATGACAAGGTAATATACAGTGTGATACTATAGTTAATTAATATTGTATTGCATATTTGAAAGAAGTTGGGAAGGAAGTAAATTTTAAAAAGTTCTCATCACAAAATAAAAAGAATTTTTGTAACTATGTATGGCGACAGCTGGTCTTACTATGTGGTAATCGTTAGGCAATGTATACATATCAAATCAGTATGTTGTACAAATGAAACCAATATAACAGTATATGTCAATTACATCTCTAAATAAATAAATAAATAAAATTAAAACAAAAACAAGATTCCTGACTACCCCAAACATCAGTTTACAGAATCACTTCCCAGTGAGACCGTATATCTCCTGCATTAGCAGTTCTCAATCCTGCATATCATCAATTAATCAGTATAATATTCCTTATCATTTTTATCACTGGGCCATGGTTAATATTTCTATTATTTAATATTTAAAATAATAGTAATAAATATCCTTGAACAAATGACCCATTCCAAGACAACCACTTTGACAATTACTTACCCAGTCTCTTTCCAGAAACAGGCAACATGATAATCTTGACATGGCGGAAACTGCGATCAACTCAAGAGCACATTCTGCCAGCACCAAGCAGAGAGACGATGTATGAAGATATTCTCTCCACTGATTCACATAGTAAGCCACTCATTTTCAGAGTCATTCAGGCACTCATTAATTTATGGTAATATTTACTTCTTTCTCTCAATAAATCAAACATCAAAGTTATAACTGAGCCAGTTAACTATTCTTATTGTCTATCATTCTTACTCAAAGACATATACATTGAGCCTTTTAATTCCCAATCCATTTTCTTTTTTATTTTTTACTATATATTTTCACAATGAACAATGCTTCATTCACCCTCTTCAGTTTTTTTCAATAAATTAATCCTGCCACTGATTGTTTATAATGTTTTTTAATGACCAGGTACACAAAGACCCAGAACATAATCCTCAGATACACTTGACATCTCTTCAGATAGGGGGAAGTACTAGATTTCTTTTGGGATGAACCTCAGAATTCCATAACTTTCGTATTCACCACCCAGACTCATACATCACCAATTGCCATCACTGATCCACATGTGGCCTTCATTATGTTCATTCATGTCCACATGTTTTTATTGGCTAATCCATCAATTCACTAGTAATAATAATATAAATGCCTAGAAACCACAAAAACTCAAAATAAGATCCTTGAGTATCTCCAACATGTGTGTATAGAATTACTTCCCATCAACAATACGTATCTTTCACTAATTAACCTCAATATTTCCCACAGAGTTATTGACATAATTCTTTATATTAAACACATTTTTACTATTCAGTCATGGTTGGTAATCACTGATTATATTTCACACAGTTTAAGTAATGAAAACCTTTTAAAAAACGAAGAAAAGAACTTTATTACTCACACAGCTCTCCATGCTCATAATGCACAGATGCAACCACAGAGCTCCTGCCCATGGGGATGCTTAAATCAGCTCAAATGCAATGAAGTACAAGACACAGCAGAGGATAAAAAGATTGAGATGTGTTCATTCATTCTTGAATTACACCTTTCATTTAGTCACTCAATTATGTAATCAGTGTGCTGCAGTAGTGTATATTTTATTTTCTCTAAGTAAATGGAAAACATTGGTCTAGCCACTGATAGAGCACATAAATATAGACTATTACTTGCTAATAGCTACATGTCATACTTAGACAAAGAAAAATACCCTGAACCATTCATTTCTTAATGGATATCTGTTTTCAATATATCTAAGTAATATTCATTGACAAACCATGTATTTGGATAATCAGACAATATTTCACCACCTTCATCATTATTTATTTATGTTAGTTTACAGATTATTTCATTGATTCAATTATAAAAATAGAAAGAAAATACATGAACATAAAGCCCAAAAAATAAGATCCTGTGTAGTCCTGACATCTGTCTAGACAATCACCTCAAACAGGATCATGGACCAGATTCCATTTTTGTTGGACCTCAGAGTTCCAGACACGCAGTCATTGTAAATGACTCATACGCCACCAGTAGTCATCATCGATCCAATATTGCCCATCTTTTCCTTCGCTAATTTCTATGTTATTTATTAATTCATTAACTCACTAATAGTAATTTAAAAGCCCTGTTATTCAGACAGTTCTCCAAAGAAGAAATTCAGATGGCCAACGGACACATGAAAAGATGCTCCACATCACTAGTCATCAGAGAAATGCAAATTAAAACCACAGTGAGATATCACCTCACACCAGTAAGGATCGCCACCATCCAAAAGACAGACAAGAATAAATGTTGGAGAGGTTGTGGAGAAACAGGAACCCTCCTACACTGCTGGTGGGAATGTAAATTAGTTCAATTACATGGTGGAGAAAGGATTTCACTCATCTGTGGAATATAAGAACAAAGAAAAAACTGAAGGAACAAAACAGCAGCAGAATCACAGAACCCAAGAATGGAACCAAAGGGAAAGGGACTGGGGAGGATGGGTGGGAAGGGAGGGATAAGGGTGGGGAAAAAGAAAGGGGGCCTTACGATTAGCATGTATAATGTGGGGGGAGGGAGTTACAGGAGGGCTGTGCGACACAGAGAAGACAAGTAGTGATTCTACAGCATCTTACTACAATGATGGACATGACTGTAATGGGGTTTGTGGGGGTGACTTGGTGAAGGGGGAAGCCTAGTAAACATAATGTTCCTCATGTAATTGTAGATTAATGATACCAAAAAAAAAAAAAAAGCCTGTTATTCACAAAACCCCAAGGACAGCCATGATATCCCTCACCTATACATACAGAATCATTCTCACAGCAATGTGTGTCTTTGGGAAATTGGCATTTTTTATTTATACATTAATCAACACAATGTTTCATAAAATGCACTGTCACTGAGCTACACTTGGCCTCCTGTGATTATATATGCAAATTTCGAATAACACTGAATACACTAAAAAATGTAATCACCGAAGCCAAGACAAGAAACTGACTATTACTCACGTGGGTCTCTGCTCCCGACACACAGGCGCCATCACAGAGCTCGGCTCGTGGAACAATGCTTCATCAGCTCGAGCGTGTGCATTTTAAGAAGTACAAAGCACAGCTGATGATGCAAAAAAGTTAGTAAATAAAGACCAGTTTTATCCCCACTGAGTCTTGCTTTCCACATTTTATTTATTCAGTCATTTAGAAATTTATAAAATTTTCATGATGTAAAATATTTTGCTCTTCACAAAAAGCCTCAAACTTGAGATTAAGCCAGAATAAAACTTACTGTTAGTTATTTATGTCTACATGATCCTTGGCCAAAGAAGTGACACCCCGATCTGTTTATTTCTCATGGGCATCAGGGTTGGCAATTTTTATTAATATTTCTTCCCTTTCACCACATATGTCCAAAGTTGGACAATGCTTCACTCTTTTATCTGTTACTCATATACTTTTAATGGTTCTATCATTGAATCATTTATAATAATAAATCTAAACCCATGATCCCAAAGTAAAAGCATCCTTGCATTGTTTACTTTCATTCATTGCAATATATAGTAATAGTATTTAACTCACCACCTTTTCTTATAATTAGACAATGCTTTTACCCCATCATCTTTATATTTTTTTCTAATATATTCATTCATCTATTAACTGATTTGATTATATTTGTAGAATAAAAATGAATGGAAACAAAGAACAAAACAAGACCCTTGCATGCACTGGTATCTGCACAGGATCACTGCAGCCACAGGGGGCAGATCTGTTCTACGTTGGACCTCAGAGTTCCAGACACGTAGTATTCATCGTATTTGACTCATATGCCATCAGTCATCATCACTGGTCCAGGACTGGCTCTTTTTCTCTACTGTCATCTATATTTGTTTGCTGATTAATTCACTAATATCAAAATAAACATAAATCACAAGAGAATCACAATTAAGATCCTTGAATATCCCCAACACCCATAGATATACATCATCATTTCCACTGAGACTATCCTCTTTCATTAACTGAACTCAGTGTTTCATCTATAAATTAACCATCATGTTGTTTCATACCCATAATATTTGACGTGGGCCTGGATGGGCCTCTTGGATTATCTTTAATACTTTTTAATATTACAGTATTTTTCAAAAAAACACTCAATCCAAGACAAGAACATTGATACTACTCACACTGGTATCCAAGTTCCTAACACACAGATGCAACCACAGAGCTCGCGACCACGGAAGACGTTTAAGCAGCTCAAGTGTGTCCATTCTGAGGAGTATAGAACACAGAAGAGGATAAAAAACTGAAACCTAATCCCCACTGACCCTTGCTTCTGCATTTCATTGTTCAGTGATTAGGCAGTTATTAATTAGGATATATTTATTTCATTTTCTCTTAAGGAAATGAACAACTTAGAACTTGTCCCTGACCCAGAGCACTGGTATTATCTAGTATTGTCTACATCATCTTTAGCCAAAGATTTAACAGTCATGTAGCATTTATTTCTCTTTGGACTTAACTGTTATCAAATATATTCATACTATTTCTTACCTCACCACATATTTTAATAATTGGACAGTATTTCATCCCATTCATATTTATTTATTTATTATTTCATTGCACCAATTAAACAAAATGTATGAATGAACACAAAGCAAAAACAAGACCCTTGTATACTCCTGACTGTAGGATCCTTTCAAATAAAGAGAAGGCACTAAGATTTCTTTGTGTGGGACCTCAGAGTTTCAGACACATAGAATTTATCATCCATGAGTCAAACGCCACCAGTCATCATCATCGGTCCAGGACTGGCACTCTTTCTCTTCGTTCATTTATAAATTGTTTATTAACTCATTAATTCACCCTAATCACATGGTAAATACTCTCAAGCAAACCACCCAAAACCAACACAAGAACTCTGAGTATCACTTACATTAGTCCCCCTGCCCTAATGCACAGACGTGACCATAAAGCTCGTGACCGTGGAAGATGCTTTAATCACCTCGAGTGCATCCATTCTGAAGACTAGAAGTAGAGAAATTAATTTTTAAAAATTAAGATTTTATCTATATTGATTCCCCTTTCCATATTACATTTACTCAGCTTTTAGGCATTTATTAATTTTTCAATATATATGTATTGTTTTCCTATTAACAAAGGGAACAACCTCAAACTTGGAACTGATTCAGAACAATAAAATTGACGCTTCATTACCCGTGTCTGCATGATCTTTAGCCAAGAAAGTAATACTGTTCATCTATGTATTTATTAACGGGAATCAACATTTTCAATTTTTATTGACAATGTGTCTTGCCTCACCATGTATGGTCATAGCTGGACAATGTTTCACTTTCTCCTTCTTTATTTATTTATTTTTCTTTAATGGTTGTATCATTGATCCATTAATAATAATAAATCTAAATCTATGAGACCAAAAGAAGAACACCATCTTTGTATATTGCTGACATCTATCTATAAGATCATTTCGAAAAGAGAAATTGAACCAATTATATTTTGTGTTGGACTCAGAATTTCAGACACTTGTTTTGATGAATGATTTCCATGACTCATACACCAGTGGTCATTATCACTGGTCCATATTTGGGTTTATTTTTCTTCATTTGTGTCTATATTTGTTACCAATTAATTCATTAATTCTTTGATAATAATAAGTAGATGATTCAAAAAAAGAAAACCAAGTGCAAGATCTTTGAATATCCTTTCCATCTGTCTATACAATCATTTCCTACAGAGTGTATCTCTTCTGTTAATCAATCTCTATGCTACACATTATCAATTAAATCAACACATTTCATATCATATTTATTATAGGACAATAGTTAACTTTTTAATTAATTTAACCATTTTACAATACTGGTCATACCCTTAAAAACATGACCCAAACCAAGACAAGATCTTCGACCATTACTTACAACCATCTCCTTCCTGGCAGGGGCGACAGGACAATCTTGTTCATGTCAGAAGCTGAAATCAGCTCCAGCATCTATTCTGAAGAACGACAAGCAGAGGTAATGAAAGGCTGAGACATGCCTCCACTGATCCACACTTTCCATCATTCATATACACAGTCATTCAGGCACTGATTAATTTAGAGTAATATCTACTTACTTTTCTTTTAATAAGTCAAACAGCAAACTTGTAACTCACTCATTACTACTACTAAAACCGCATATTTACTCAAAAATGTACTCTTGGTGCATTTATTATTCATTCCAATTTATATTGTTACTTTTATTTATTACATATTTTAACAATAAACAATGCTTCACCCTCCTCATCTTTATCCATTTAAACATTTGTTCCTTTATTCTGCCACTGACTGTTTTATAATAATATTTTTGAAAATCGATGGCCACAAGTCCAAGAAAAAGAACCATATATATTCCTGACATGTCTACAGGAATACTTCAAACAAGATAAAGGTACTAGACTCCTTTCTGTGTGGGACCTCAGAGTTCCAGACACATCATCTTCATCGTGTATGACTCATATGCACCTGTCATCAACTTTGGTCCAGATTTTGCCCTCTTATTCTTCTTTGTAATTATGAATCAATTCATAATTCACATATAATAACAAAATACCTTCACAGGGATCACAAAAACCCAAGAAGTTTCTAGAAAACGCCTTATATCTATCTACAGAATTATTTCCCATAGAGACTACATCTCTATCTCTATTTGACCTCAGTGTTTAGTAGGTCAGTTAATCAACACCATGCTTCTAATCAGCACCGGCCTCATTATCAGGCTCTGGTCGGCCTTCTGCAGTTTCACCTCCTGGGCCTTTATACAGTGAATCCCCTCAAGGGAGCCACCAAAACCTCAATGAGAAACCCGACTGCTGCTGACACTGGTCCCCCCATAGAGCCTCTGATCACAAGGGTCACGGCAGAACCTTGCACAGCGGAGTCCAAGGCAGAGCGGAGACGTTTCCTCCAGTGGTCCTTGCTTTCCACCTTTCATTTTCTTGAGTCATTTAAATATTTATTGATTGAGGTTAATAATTATTTATCTCATCTCTTAAAACAAAAAAAAAAGAACAGCACGGAACTCACCACTGACCCAGAGCAGTAACACTGCCTATGACTTGCGTCTGTCTAGATGACGGTTCCCCAAAGGGGTGCGCCCTTATCTGTGTATTTCTTAATGGGCATTAGTGTCTCCAAGTTACATTAGTAGCATTTGTCTCATCTCATATTTTTATGATTGGACAATGCTTCATGCCCTTCATCTCTATTCATTTGTGTAATTGTATAGCTTTAAGTATTGACTTTTTTCACAATAATACCATAACTTCTTGAACCACAAAAGCCCGAGAACAAGATCTCTGTTGTGTATTCCTAATCTGACTGGAGGATCATTTCCAACAGGCCAATAGACTAGATCTCTTTCTGTGTAGTGCCTCAGAGCCCAGCTGCATCATTCATCACTCTTGACTCACATACTCCCAGGTGTCCATCACTGGTCCAAGATTTGCCCTCTTTTTCCTCATTTACTTCTACATATGTTGACCTATTAATTTTTCAATTGTTTAATAATAATACAATTAATTTACATGAAAAAAACCACAACAAGATTCTTAAATGTCCCTAACATCTATCTACAGAATAATTTCCCTCGTCTACTGTATCTTTCTTTAATCCATCTCAGTGTTGCACAGAACCATTAAGGAACAGGGGTTCCATATGAATCCCATACCAAGCCATGGTTACCTTCTTTGATTATACCTAATACATTTTTTAGCAATGCAGTGAGTATTCTTAAACAAGCTATCCAAACAAGAGCTCTGACCATTATTCATGTAGCTCTCTGGTTCTTGGCCATTGTAGAGGGGTTAAATCAGCTTGGTGCATTCATTCTGAGTATAAGCAATGCAAATAATAAAATAATGAGATAATCTTCCCATTAACATCTGCATTTCTCATTTCATTTTCATAGTCACTTAGGTACTTATTATTTTACAGTATGATTTATTTCCTTTTCTCTTAGAAAACAATCCACTTAAACTCACCACTGACTCAAAGCAAGAACACAGCCTATTACATTCACTCTCCTTACCCAAAAATGTAACCCCCTTGATCCACTTAGTACTTAGTGAACTTCACTAGCTCCAAGTTATATTAGTAATAATTCTTGCCTCACCACATATTCGCATAGCTGGATATACTTGGCCTTTTCATCTTTATACACTGACATACCTGCTTATTCTTTTCATTTTTCCACTTACAATAATAAAATTAAAATCCTTGAAGCACCAGAGGCTGGGAACATTATCCCTGAATATCACTTTAATATATCCACAGGCTCATTCCCAGAGATATAACATTTAAATCTCTTTTTGTGATGGACCTCAGTAGGTCACAGATGTTTTGATCATAAAATACACCTCAGAATGCATTCCATTTACATCATCGGTCCAAGATTAGCCTTTTGTCATGTAATTTGTATATTCTTTCTATATATAACATGAGCCCATCATCAGAACTAAACAGTGACTAGTACTTACATCTCCCACTTTCCTCGTAATGAAATGAAGAAATTCTCTTTCCTCATATTGAAGAACGCTTACATCTTCATCAGTTAAGAAATGTTTAAGGAAAACCTAAAATAGAAATGTAAAATCCTCAACCTTTTGTAAAACTGATCCCGAAATTAATTATTTCATAAACCTTGCTATGTAACAGAGCTTCATCATAGATCCATACATGGTCTTTGATTTTGTTTATATATGTTGTTCATCAATTAATTAATTAATTAACTTGATAAATTCATTAAATACTCTTAATATGTAACTCATGAAATATTTTGACCCAGTATTCAATTTTCAAGCAAAATGAAAAGTATTTAATGTTCCAGAAACCCAGAAGAAAAATGCTAATATGCATATCAGTCTTATTCCCCTTCCTCAAACTGATGACAGCCAAGATATTTTTCTTAGGAGGGACAAAACATGAAGAGGGTTGACGGATCATGTTTCACCACAAACTCATCACTAACCAGGTGCTCTATCTCTTTTCATCTTATCAAGTTATTAACTTAGTTATTAATTTGTAATGATAAAATCAACATCTCTGTACACAACCTCAGGACAACTACACTGATTAAGAGTAACTGTGTCCAGTTGCTCACTATTTTAAGTGTCAAGAGACTATATTGTTTTCAGCAACTTTATGGAGGAATAATTAACAAATATAGGTGTATATATTTAAAGTGTACAACATGATGATTTGGTTTACAGAGGCACCGGGGAATGATTATCAGTGGGAACACAGGGAAGCCAATTAGACTGATCATAACTTGTCACATGACACATTTTCGTCACTGGCTCATGCTGAACCCTCTTTAATGTAGTCGGCTAATTAACTTACATGAATTTTGTTCCTCTTTCTTAATTTAAAAAAAATAAAAAACAAAAGCAACTGCAACCCAAAGACCGCACAGAACATGAACATTGACAATTATGTACATGTCGCCCTCTGTCTCTTACACTAAAATATAAAACCCTCTATACATCCCTCTATACGTTTCCAATGGGCTTTTAGTCCTAAGAAATGGATTATTGATGTTTCATGACACATATAGTTATTACATTTAGCTCAATTTTTCCTTTTTTATTCATACTTTAGTTATTATTACATTGATTCTTAATAAGCAACCAATATCTGTGGAATTCAACAGCCCAAAAATAAAATCCTTGGAGATCCCTAACAACTGTTCACATTTGTATTAGAAGCAAGAGACTAGATTTCTTCCTGCATTGGACATCAGTTCTAGGTGAGCATTATTCATCCTGGATTCATAGGCCACCTGTCCTCCCAGACTTCACCCTCTTTTTCTTCACTCAACTATAATTTTGTTTAGAGATTAATTTTGGTTAGAGATTAATTCATAAACCTAATTCACTAATTCACTAATAATTCACTAATAATTCACTAAAAATTCACTAATAATACATACCCATGAATTTTTTTAAGTAGCTTTAAAATCCCTCATCTGTATATAGAATCATTTTCTACAGAGTAAATCAACCTAGATCTCCTTTGCTAATGGACCTCAGTATTGAATTCATGGACTAGTCAAACTACTGGCTTCATTCGAACCTCTTACTTTGGCATGGACTAACCTCTAACATCTGTCTATGGAATTATGTCCCTCAATAAACTCCCTCTTTCATTAACTGACCTCAATGTATGGCTTTATAAACAATATGCATCATAGTAATTGAATTTTTGGGTCATGGTTGGAATCCACTGATTCTGTTTCAGACTTTTTAATAATACAGTGAATACCCTTAAAGAAACACCCAAACCAAGACAAAGAACACTGACTATTACTCACATTGGTCTCCAACCTCTAACACATATATGCAACTGTAGAGTTTGTGATCATGGAGAAATCAGCTCAAGGACGTCCATTACGACAGGGCAAAAGAGCTCGTTGAGGACTTATCGCCATTGGTTCTTTCATTCCATTTCATTTCATGGGTCATTTAAGGAATTAGCAATTTGGGAAAATATTTATTTAACTTCTCCTAAGTAAACAAACAGTATTGATTTTGCCACTGACACAGAAAACGAACATTGCCTATTACTATATAACACTGCCTATAAAATCCTTAGTCAAAAAGGTGACATCCTTGTGTCATTTATTTTCTAATGGACAGGAGTGTTTTCAATACGTTCTAATAGTATTTCTGGTCCTCCTATGTATTTTTGTAACTGAACAGTGCTTCATAATCATCATCTTTATTTATGTATTTATTATTTCATTGATCCAATTATACAAATAGAGAATGCATAAACATAAACTAAAATAAATATTTTTGTATATTCGTGAGATCTGTCTATAGGATCACTTCACACTGGACAGTGGACCTCAGAGTTGCAGACACATATTGATTAACCGTGACTCATACGGCACCAACAGTCACCCTTGATCCAATATTATCCCTCCTTTTCTCCATTTGTTGCTACATTGTCTATTGAATAATTCGTTAATTCAGTAATAATAATTGTAAGACCCTATTACTCACAAAAACCCCAAAAGAGCCTTGATATCCCTAATCTGTATTCAAGATCATTCTCACATCAAGTATCTCTTCATTTATTATTATGCTTTTCCTTTATGCATCAATCATTATCATCAATCCTGTATTTGTCACTGGACTACAGCTGGCCTTATTTGACTACATATCACACTTTTTACGGTGTGGTTTGGGTCATACTGTGAGTAGAATGTTGATGCTCACTCACGCTGGTCTCTGTGCTCCTAACACACGGATTGGCAATCACAGAACTCATCTCCCCGGGAGATGTTTAAATCAGCACAAGGGCGTCCATTCTGAGGAAGACAGAGCAAAGCACATGATAAAGAGAACTGAGGCTTTGTCCCAGTGATTCTCACCTTCTGTGTTTCATTTACTCAGTCATTTAGGTGTTTACAAATTTTTCATAATGTAGATTTTTTTCTCTTAACAAAGAAAACGACCTCAACCTGAAACCTGATGCCAGCCCAGTCAATAAAACTGACTCTTATTTATCAGGGTCTATATGATCCTTAGCTAAAGCGATAACACCCTTGTGTCATTTATTTCTGAGGAGGCATCAGTACCTTTTTCAATATTTATTAGAAATATTTACCTCACCACTTATGTTCATAGTTGGAAGGTGCTTGACATTCTTTATTTTTGTTTTTATTTTTATTTGTTCAATGGTTCTACCATGATCCACTAGTAAAAATAAATTCTATAAACCCAAAATGAGAACATGATTTTTGTATATTTCTGATATCTGTCTATAGTGTCATTTCCAACAGAAGGATTCAACTAATTATGTTTTGTGTTGGATCTTAGAGTTTTAGAAATGTAGTATTCATCATTCATAACTCTTTTGCCACCAGTTGTAGTGTTTGTACTACGTCTGAGTCTCTTTTTCTTCATTTCTACATTTGTACTAAATGAATCATTAATTTATTGATAATGATATAATGCATACATGATTCACAACATCCAAGAACAAGATTTCAGCATCCTCAACATAGTCTATAGAATCATTTCCCATGTAGACTTTATCTCTTTGATTAATCAACTTTAATGTCTATTAATCAACATATTTCATACCATATTTATATTTGGACAGTTACTTCTTAGTTATATCTATTAGTTTTTCATAATACTCTGAATACCTTAAACAAATTACCTAAACCAAAAACTATAACTTTGACCACCACTCACCTTGGTCTCTTTCCTGATACCTGGTCACGGCAGGAGCTGAAGCCTGCTTGGAGCATCTGTTCTGAATAGAACCTGCAGAGAAGAATGTAAACATTCTGAGAACAAAAAGAGCAAAAAAGACTGAGACATTCTCTCCACTAATCCATCGTTTCCACCATTCGTATACATAGTCGTTTACACATTTATTAATGGTAATATTTATTTATTTTCCTCTTAAAAAATTAAAACATCAACGTTGTAACTGGCTGAGAGCAGAAACTATTACTATCGATACTCCTCACCTTTACTTGCGCACCGATTCTTTGAGCTATTACAGTAGAATCAAATTTCATGAAAAGAAATCAAGAAAATGGTCCCTTTTTTTCCCTAACATCTATCAATCGAATCACTTCAAAGAGAGGCACACACTATTTCTTTTCTGTGGGACCTCAGAGTTTCAGATGTGATACCCACTGCCCGGGACTCACGCTCCCCCAACCAGCGTCATTGGTCCACATCTGGGCCTCTTTTTCTCATTCTCACGTGCATTACTTTATTAATTAGTCCCTTAACTCACTAGTGATCATTTTTAAAACCCTATGAATCACAGAGACCTAAGAATAAGTGCAATGAGTATCTCACGCGTCTATAGGACCGTTGGCCGCATTGTTAAAGCCCTCACTAATTATGTTCAATAATCCACATATGTATTTAGTAACTGTCATATGCTGCATTTACCATGTTTTGCTGTTTAGGATTATATCCCACACTTTTAATAATAGAATGAGTATCCCTTTTAAAAATGATTTAAATAAATACAAGAACCGTAACATTTACTCACATTTGTCTCTATGCTCTTCACGCACTGGGGAAACCATAAGCTCCTGACCGTGCAAAATGGTGGCATCAGCTTGAGTGCATCGATTCTGAGGAGGATGAGGCAGAGCAGATAACTAAAAATTGGTTGCCTTTTCTCCAACAGTCCTTATTTTAATCATTTCATATTTCTGGTTCTTTGGGTATTTATTAATTTTTCAGAACACCTAAAATTTTGTATATTAAAAAATTAACGTCCTCGACTTGAATGCGACCCAGGCTTATAACACCGAGTATGACTTACCCCTTTCAGTGTCCAGATGATCCTTAGAAAAAGAGGTAACAGCCCTGGTCCATTTATTTCTTAATATACGTGAGTTTCTTCAGTTTACATGAACAGTACTTCTTGCCCCACCACATGTATTCAGAGCTTTTTCTTCCCTTATTTATTTATGTATTTGTTTATTGGTTCTGTCATTGATCCACTTGTATTAATAACATAGAAATCCATGAATCCAAAATTATACGAACAACATCCTTGTATATTCCTGATAACACCGATCCACAGGATCCTTTGCACGGGGAGAAATGGACAAGATTTTGTGTTGCTCTCAGACCTCAGACTCCAGACACGCGGCATTCATCCAATGGGGCTCATTCTCCATCAGCCATCATCACCGGTCCAAGTCTGGGCCTCTTTTTCTTCATTCTCAGCTACATTTGTTGTTCATGCATTAATTCATCAATCTACTAATAATGAAATAAATCTATGAATCACAAAAATGCAGGAACAGAAGTCCTCAGTTATCCCTACCATCTTTCTTTAGAATCATTGCCTAATTGAATATACCTTTCATCACTCATCCTCATTATTGTAAAGATGGATTAATCAATATGTTTCATACATTTCCAACTTAATCAGTGAACCATGGCTGGTCTTTTCTCTTATATTGAATACTTTTTAAATAATCGTAGTAATACTCTCTAAACAACCCAGCCAAACCACGGCGAGCACGGTGAGCATGAGTCACCTGCACTCAACGCTCCTACGGAGGCCGCCAGGAGCTCCCGAACGCAGCAGATGCTTCAGACCCTTTCTGAGAAATACAAGCAAAGCAGATGGTAACAAGATTGGAACATTTATCTCCATTGCTCTTATGTTTAATCAATCATTTAGTAATATATTAATTGGGGATAATGCCGATTAATTTTCTCTCTAAAAAATAAATAGATTTGTCATTGACCCAGAATAAGAACGTCTCGTGGTTCACCAAAGAGATAAGGCCCTTGAACCATTCACTTTTCTTAATGGAATTCAGTATTTTCAATATATTTTAGTAGCTTTTATTCCATATCTAATGAGCACATATGCTTCACACACTCCATCTTTTTTATATTTGTATATTGATTCTTAAATAGATCATTTAATAATACAAGAACAAAATCCATGAAAACAATCGAAGAAAATGGTCTCTTTATATCCCTAAAATCCGCCTATAGGGTAACTTCAAATAAAAGCAACAGACCGTACCTATTTTTGTGCTGGACCTCAGAGTTCCAGACACACACGATTTACCACCCAACCCAGACTCCTGTGCCACCATTTGCCACCAACGGCTCAGGTTTGGGTCTCCTGTTCTTTGTTCATTTCTACAATTGTATCAAATAAATCATTAATTCATTAACAATAAAACGATTACACCTACATCTGTCCATAAGATCACTTCCCGCATGGACTGATTCTCTTTCACTAATCAACCTCTATGTTGCACATTATTGATTAATCCACATAACATTTCATATATTTATCATTGGAGCACAGTGAACTTTTTTATTATGTTTAGCACCTTTTAATAATTCAATTAATACCTTTAAACAAATGATACAATCTAAGATGACAACTTTGATCACTAATCACCTTGGTCTCTTTCCAGCACAGAGGCAAACATCTAGATCATGGTAGGAGCTGAAATCAGCCCGGGCATCCTTTCCGAATAGTGCCAAGTAGATGAAGTGAAATAAAGATTGAGACATGCTCCCTGTTGATCTATGCTTTCCACCATTCATAGATGGAGTCATTTAATATGGAGTCATTATTTGTTAATTTATTTTTCTATTTTTTCCTTAATAAAACAAACATCAAACTTGCAAGCGATCCAGCTCAATAATTGACTATTATTTACCACTGTCTATATATTCTTAGCCAAAAATGTAAAAGACACTTGATCCAGTTATTTTATTATCCATTCTAACTTGTAGTATTTCTCCTTGCTACATATTTTAGCAATGAACAATACTTGTCCTTCTTCATCTTTATTCATTTATACATTTGTTTATTCTTATTCTGCCACTGATACTCTTACACATTTTTTAAAATTCATGAACACATAGAATAAGAACAAGGTCCCTACATATTCCTGACACCTGCTTATAGGAACACTGCCAGCAGAGGGAATGGACTGGATCTCTCTGCGGTGGGCCTCAGAGTTTCAGACACGTACGTGGCATTCATTGCATGTGACTCACACGCCATCATTCATCGTCATTGGTCCAGACTCAAGACTTTTACTTCATTCTCATCTACATTTGTTTACTGATCAATTTATTAAGTCATTAATAATAATGAAGTAAGCATCCGTGCATCAAAAAACCCAAGGACAAGATCTGCAAATATCCTCAAATCTGTCTTTAGAATCTTTAGCTTCACTGAATATATTTATTTCATTAATCATCCTCATTGTGGCAATATTCACTAGATGGCACAATGCTTCATGTCAATAGCATACTTTACCATTGAGCCAGGTTTGGCCTTCTTCAGTATATTTAATAATTTTTAATATTACAGTGACTGGCCTATACAAACCACCTGAACCAAGAATCTATTACTCACACTAGTCTCCAAGCTCTTAACACAGGGGTATCCACGGAGCTTCTGATCACAGCCAGTGCTTAAATAAGTCCAGGTGTGTCCATTCTGGGGCATACAGAGCAGGTGATAACAAGCCTGAGATGCTCCCTGTGGATCCATGCATTCCACCTTCATTCCGCCAGCCATTGAGGAATACAGTAGAATGGGGTCTCATTTATTATTTTTCTTTTAAAAAATGAACAATATCAAACCTAACACTAACACAGAATAAGAACGTTGACTGTTATTATCTGTATCACTCTTAGCCAAACAGGTGAGACATTTGAACCATTTACATTTCTTAACCAACTTCAGTATTTTCGAAAAGTGTTCATAATTATTGCCTCACCACATATATTAAGACTGGACATTCTTCACCCTATCAATCTTAAGTTATTTATACTTGTACATTGATTGTTTCAAGCCACTGTTTTCACAATAAAATCAAAATTCACAAACACACACCAAGAAAATTATTATTTTATTTTCCTAACATTTGTCTGTAAGATCAGGTCAAACAGAGGCAATCAATCATATTTCTTCATTGGACCTCAGCATTTCAGACACATGACATTCATCAACCATGACTCATACGCCACCAGTCATCATCATCGGTCCTTATCTGGGCCTCTTTTTCCTCATTCTCATCTGCATAAGTTCATTAATTCATTAATTCACTAATACTAATTTTTAAAACCATATGATTCACAAAAACCCAAGAATAAGATCAATGAATATTCTACATCTGCCTATAGGATCATTTGCCACATAGATCTCTTTAATTATCACCAATGTATCATATATAGATGAATAAATGTAATCTTCAGACCAACCACACTGATTACTAATAATGGTTGGCATTTGGGATTATATTTCAGTTTCAACAATACAGTGAATACTTGGGGGGGCGGGGGAAACCTCTCAAACAAAGACATGAACTTTATTAGTCACATTGGCCTCCAAGCTCAGGAGACACAGAGGCGACCGAGAAGCACGTGGCCGAGGGAGATGCTTAAATTCACTCAACCGCATCCATTGTGAGGAGTACAGAGCAGAGCAGGTGGTTTTTAAAGATGAGACCTTCTCTAAATTGGTCTCTTTTTCCCCTCACTTCATTATTTCTTATAATTTATACACATATGTAAGAATAAGTATAAATATCATGACACAATTCTTAGAAAAAGAAGTAACCCCCCTGGTCCATGTATTTCTTACCATGATCAGCTGCTTCAGTTGACATTAATGGTACTGATCACATATATTCAGAGCTGATAGGGCTTCCTTCTCTTATTTATTTATCAGTTCTACCATTGATCCATTTATATTAATAATACAGAAATCCATGAATACAAAATTACAAGAACACTATCATTGTATTTCCTAACATTGATCCACAGGATCCTTTGCAAGAGGGAAAACAGATGAGATTTTGATGTCGTGGACCTCAGACTTCCAGACACACAGCATTCACCGTAAGTGACTCATATGCCATCAGTTGTCATCACTGGTCCAGGGTTAGGCCTCTTTCTCTTCATTTTCATCTACATTTACCTAATGATTAACTCATCGATTCACTGTAGGAATTAAATAAATACCTATGAATCACAAAAGCTTAAGGACAAGAGCCTTCACGATCCCTGTCGTCTTTAGAATCACTGCCTAGTTGAATATACCTCTTTCATTAATCATCCTCATGACTGTAACGGTAGATTAATCAACAGAATGTTTTATTCACTTTCAATTTAATCATTAGACCATGCCTGGTCTTTTTTCCTCCTACTGAATAGTTTTTGAAAAATATCACAGAGAACACCCTAAACAAACCACCCAAAGAAAGGTGAGAACGCTATTACTCACATCGGTTTCCGGGCCCGGACGGGCACAGAGATCACCGGCCAAGGCACGATGCTTGAATCAGCCTGGATGTACACACCCTAAAAAGAAACGAGCAGAACAGATGATAACATGGATGGCATATTTCTATACGGAACCTTGCATCTCATTTTATTATTCAGTGATTAAGTTATATATTAATTTGGATTAATATATACTTTTTTTTCTTAAGAAAAGGAAACACATTGAAATTTCCACTAACCCAGAACAAGAATATTGGCCATTATTTATGCTATCTATAGCATCCTCACCTAGAAGTAAGACCCTTGAATCAATTATTATTTTTTTGATTAAATTAAGGTATCATTGATATACAACGTTATGAAGGTTTCACATGAGCAACCCTGGTTTCAACATTCACCCATATTATCAAGTCCCCACACCCCACTGCAGTCACTGTCCATCAGCATAGTAGATGCTATAGGGTCATTAGTTCTCTTCTCCGTGCTGTACTGCCTTCCCCATGAGCTACCTACATTATGTGTGCCAATCATAATGCCCCTTAATCCCCTTCTCCCTCCCTCCCCACCTGCCCTTGCCCACCCCTCCCCTTTGATAACCGCTAGACCCTTCTTGGAGTCTCTGAATCTGCTGCTGTTTGTTCCTTCAGTTTTGCTTTGTTCTTATACTCCACAGATGAGTGAAATCATTTGGTACTTGTCTTTCTCTGCCTGGCTTATTTCACTGAGCATAATACCCTCCAGCTCCATCCATGGTGTTGCAAATGGTAGGATTTGTTTTCTTCCTATGGCTGAGTAATATTCCATTGTGTATATGTACCACATCTTCTTTATCCATTCATCTACTGATGGACACTTAGAACCAATTATTCCTTAAGTGACTTAGTGTTTCAGTGTTTATTAATATCATGTCCTGCCTTACTACATTTTGTCATAATTGGATGCTTTTTCATCTTTTTTCATTTTTTATTTATATTTGTACATTGATTCATTTATTATATAATAGAATCAAACTCTATGAACACAGAGGGATATGTTCATCAGGATTTTTTGTGGTGTCTTTGCCTGGTTTTGGTATTAGGGTAATGTTGGCCCTGTGGAATGAGTTTGGGAGTATTCCCTCCTCTTCTACTTTTTGGAAAACTTTAAGGAGGATGAGTATTAGGTCTTCACTAAATGTTTGATAAAATTCAGCAGTGAAACCATCTGGTCCAGGTGTTTTGTTCTTAGGTAGATTTTTGATTACCAATTCAATTTATTTGCTGGTAATTGGTCTATTCAGATTTTCTGTTTCTTCCTGGGTCAGCCTTGAAAGGTTGTATTTTTCTAGAAAATTGTCCATTTCTTCTATGTTATCCAGTTTGTTACCATATAATTTTTCTCTCATAAATCTTTGTATTTCTGTGGTGTCCGTAGTGATTTTTCCTTTCTCATTTCTGATTGTTTATGTGTGTAGACTCTCTTTTTTCCTTGGTAAGTCTGGCTAGGGGTTTATCTATTTATTTCCTCGAAGAACCATCTCCTGCTTACATTGAATCTATTGTTTTATTCTTCTCAATTTTATTTGTTTATGCTCTAATCCTTATTATGTCCCTCCTTCTATTGACTTTGTGCCTCATTTGCTCTGCCTTTTCTAGTTTTATTATCATTTGGTTATTTATTAGTTCTTCATATTTATATATTTTTTCTTAACAAAATGAACCACCTGACCCATGAGACTGAACTGTAGCAATAAAGGTGACTAACACTAATCAGTCTATATAAGCTTTGCATAAAGAGGTAACACACTTGGTCCATTTATTTGTTAATGAACTTCATGATTTCAATATTAATAATATTTCTTGCCTCACCATATATATTTAGAGTTGAACAAGGCTTGACCCCTTCACATTTACTGACTTATGTATTCATTTAGAGTTCTATTACAGATCCATTCACAAACATGACACTGAAACCATGTACACCCAGTGAAAGAACAAAATCCCCATAAATCCCTAATAGCTTCCCAAAGGGTGGTTTCCAACAGCGGGAACAGACTAGATTTCTTATCTGTTGGACCTCCGAGTTCCAGATACATATTAATCATCATCCATGACTCATACACCACCAGGCATCACCAATGGCCCAGAACTGGCCTTCTTCCATTAATTTCTACATTTATTTATTAGTAATTCATCAGTTCACTAATTATTAAATAGATAATTATGAATCACAAAAACATAAGAAGGAGATCTTTAAGTATCCTCCATACGATCTGTAGGGACATGTGCCATGGTGATCAAGGCTGCTTCATCGATCATGCTTAATTTTGCAAATATTTATCCATCAACATGATGGTCATGACGATGACCCATTTATCAATGGTCAGGCTTCGTGGGTTCCTTTAACAGCACAGTCATGACCTTTTATAACTACTCAAACCAAGACAAACACTGGCTGTACTCACCTGGTCTCTACGCTCCCGGCACACAGAGGCAACCACAGAGCTCGCGACCACAAGCTGCTCAGCAGGCTGGGAGCACACATTGAGGGTACAAAGCAGAACACGTGATAAAATGATGGACACATCTTCTCCAGGTACCCTTGCATTTCTACTTGCATTTTATTAGTCATTTAAGGATTACTATAGTAAAAGACCTCTTTTCTTGAGAAAACAAATGCTGAACAAGGCCCTGACCAAATAAGAACATGATCTACTCTTTATACTGTACATACCATCCTTGGCCCAAGATGTAATACCTCTAAGATATTTATTTCTTAATGGGGTTCACTGTTTTTATATATTAATATTAACTAATATATTTATATCGATTCTGGCCTCACCAGGCATTGTCCATTGGACGGTGCTTCACCCTCTTTATTTATTTATATGTTTGTTGTTTGATTCTTTCATTGATCCATTTATGATAACAGAATCTAATCCCATGGACACAAAAACTAAAAACAAAATCCGTAATTCCTAATATCTGTCCATACAATCATTCCAACAAAATGTAAGACTGGATTTCTTATATGCTGGACCTCAGAGTTCCAAACACATGGTATCATCTCCACTAGGCATCATCATTGGTCTGGGATTGGCCATCATTATCAATCATGTCTACATGTTATTATTGATTAATTCATCAATTTGCCAATAAAATAAATGCCAAGAGATCATAAAAACTTCAAACAAGATCCTTGAATATCTCTAACATTTCTCTATGAATTACTTCCCACTGATTATATATATAGATATTCATTAATTGGCCACAATGATGTTCCCTATATAGATTAATGCAATACTTCATATTAACCCCATTTTTCTATTTGAATGTGACTAAACTATGTCTTTATAAATAGAGGGAGGTTTAAATCAATTGTGACTCAAAACTAAAATTGAATAGTACATTTTACATTAATTAATCAAATAATTAACTGAAAATGAATAAAATGGTCTTCCTTTTTCTCCTTAATTGAACACAGATGTAGTGAATTGGCCACACACACAACCTCATTCATTTTATTTGCATACATAGCCATTTATTCCCTTTCAATAACAGAGTCAACACCCATGACAAGCCACCAAACCAGAAGCAATTACTTTGACCATTACTTACGTAAGTTGCTACAATCCTTAACTGAATCACTGTGCATCCATTCTGTTGAGTACAAAGCAAATATAAAAATGGATAGACTGTTTTAAATTAGATAGATAGAGCAGCCTAGATTGAGATGGCTCTAATTGAGTTCAGTCAACATTGATTGATTAGGAGTAAACCTTGTATATTAAAACTCTGAATGGCATACTTATTGATTCAAATATTAAATTTAACTGATGAAGTGAACACCTCTGAAACTAACACCAGACAAAAGAATAAGGCCTATCACTATGACACATATCCGTTTATACCCAGCCAGATAAGAGCTTTATCTTCTTTCTGAATGAATCTTGCTTAGAAAGAACTTGGTTACTTAGAATTCTAGATTCAAGCACATTCACAGCAACTGTCCAAGCTTGATTCACTCATACATATATGTATGTATATGTAATCACACATGGACTCACTTGTCTTCCACTTTTGAAAGAAATTGCAACAATAAGCCAGGAAGAAAAATCCTATCTAAATGTATTCACTATTCCAGAAATGTGAGATTTTGGAAAATTTAAGACATTACAAAAATGAGCGATGATCTAACACTGGATTAATCATTCTCCTTTGTCTCCTAACACATGCTCCTCTTTGGCCCATGCTTTGTCTTCTTTCTAAAGACTCATTAGAATACTAACATTGTTTTACACATTTATAATAAGATCATTAACATTTATAACTAACAGAAACAGGACAATATCATGCCTGTCCACATGCTCCAGAGGCTCAGAAAAAAGCAGGTGAGTCTTTTTTTTTTTTCATTAAAAAAAGAGTGACAATCATTGGATTAATTATAGCTGGTCATGTGACACATTCTCAATATTAAGTCTCTGTGTAAGCCCTCTCTCAATTATGTAGTTATTTAATAAATAATTAATTAAAGTAAATGTTTTGCCTTTCTCTGAATAAAACAAAAAACAACAACCCAACACACTGAAAAACAACATGGGCTCTTACACCTATTTACCTAAATGCTTTTTACCCAAAAGGATCAGCTTTAATCAGTTTATTTTACTGGGACTCAGTGCTTCAAAAATGTATTAATAATGATTTTTATATTACATTATATACTCTGATATTCGGACTAGGAATAGTCTATGTTGTCTTTATTCATTTAGACATTTCTTGATTTACTCACACATTGATTTACTGAAAATACAATACTCAGAAGCCCAGGAACAAACTCCTGAATATTTTCAACTCCTGAATAAGGTCATTTCCCATAGAGATAACAAAGAGGAATTTTCTTGTAGTGGACCTCAGAGTCATAGGGTTTAATCAAAATCCTTGATTTCAGACACCCCAGGGTACTCATCATTGATCCAGGCTAAGCAATCTTTTTCTTCATTTATACCTTCGTTTACTGATCCAATCATTGATCCACTATGGGTAATAAACTCAATAGCCATGAATTTTAAAAAGATCCCTGAACATGACCAAGATCTGTTTACAGACTCTTTTGCCACTAACTGGATCTTTTCTCAGTAGACTAGCTCTCTTCCGCAGTGGCCCTCAGGGAGGTCTGTATGGATCAGTCAACATCCTTGCTTCGTACGCATCCTACTGCAACTGTCTTCCATCTTTCCATGTACACCCCTCGTGGGGGAGCTGTCCACAGACCTCCTCATGAAGAGGTGAATGGGCTATGACTGCGCTTGCGAACAGGTCACCATTAGCCACACGTAGCTACTACAGACCTGAAATGTGGCTAGGGCATTTGAGAAGCTGAACTTAAAATTCACTTCACTTTAATTATTTTGAATTTAAATAAATACGTGTGGTTAGGGGAAGCCACCCTGAACAATGTGCAGCACTAAATTTTATTACTAGATAAATGTATAAATCTTCAGTGCAAAAATAATATGGATTATTAGTCAGCTCTGAAAATAAAAAAATGTCTTCTGTCTAATTTTTAACCACAACTCTATTGAACTGGATTAGCCATAATCTTCAATTCACAATACATTCGTATCATGGGTCTCCATATGGTTTAACTTCAATAAGTCAGTGAACACTAATGAAAAATTTACCCCAATTGACAAGATCTGTTGACTACGATTTACTTTCATCAGTTAGGTTCCATACCCACAGAGGTACAGCCAAGACTTCCATCAGCAGAGTCTGGCTAAACCAGCCCTGGTCTTCATTCTATAAAGTTAAATGCCAATATTCAAAAGAATGAACAGTCCAGATTTAGAGTGATTAAAAGGACATAAGTTGTGTGGTACTAGGTTAATCATGAAGTTGATTCAAGTCTCATTTTCATCATTGACCCAAAAACAATTCTCCTTATTTCTTGATTTAACTATTGATTTTAAATAATACAATGAACACTGTTGAGTTCATCACTCAAAAATATGAACTCTGACTATATGACTATTGTACATATCTGTCTATAGACCCTTACCCACATAGGCAGGAGCCTAGATAATATTTTTAAATGGACTCAGTATGTGTAGAATTGGATGAATTCAAATTTGTGATTCATGGCATATTCTCATCAAGATCTATGCTTGACCTTACTCATATATTAATTAAATTGCTCATTGTTTTATTCATTTATGAATCAGGGAATATTCGATCATATATTCAAATATACTAAGACACACACACACAATGGCAAAGACAACACCCTAAAGTAGAAAGACTTCGTGTACAAGTGGCTCTCTGCCCACATTCAAACTAGGAAGAAAGGATCAATAGTATAAACAAAGACTAATCATTATTCTTGCTGCTTAATGGACCATGTTTTGCCTCCTTTTAAACTATGAACTGTGATTTTGATTTAATCTATTCATATGTAACAATTCATCAGGATCTGGGAATTAACTAACATCAGACAGGAAACTTGAATAATATTGTGTTGTTACTCAAAGATTTAAAAACTAGATGCTTTTGTTTGTTTTTAATAAAATTCAGTGAACAGAGGTCGATTAAAAATAACTCCTTTCATAAAATACCTTCTCAAGATGAACTATGTTCATTCTTTTTCCAATTAAACAGCTATTTAATAAATTATTCACTTATGTAATTTTCCCTTCTCTAAATAAAAACAACCAGCCAGCAGCCAACCATCTGCCTCAAATAATACTACTGTCTTACATGCATCTCTCTACATACTCCTTCTAAAATGGGGCAACAGTCTTTATGAGTATTATGAGTTCATTACAGGAATTATGAACTAGAATTCAGCATGACAAAATGTGCAATTACAATCCCTGTTTCCTTACATACTCTAATAGTTAGTCTGTGCCCAGCTTTCTTTGTATTCGCCCATTTTTACATTTCTTCATTCATTCATGCACTTTTTACTTATAAAAATTCCATCTATAGCCACAAAATGTGTATGGCCATGATCAAGATACCTGGAAGTTCTGAACTTCTGCATTAAGTTCATTTCCATAGAGGAAAAAAGGAGCCAGTTTTTAATAATGGACCTCAGAGTACAGATGGCTTTAATCAAAATTTTTGATTCAGACACCCTCCAATCTCATCATTGGTCCAGGCTTGGCACTCGTTTCCTTCATTCATTTCTACCTTCATTTCCCCGTTTAGTATGAACTCCAAATCCCTGATGTAGCTATGACCTGCCTCTAGACTGATTTCTCACAGATCTTTCAGACTAGATTTCAGTATAAACAATGGTCCATGATTGGGCCTTGTTTATTTACTTGGTCCAGTTTAAAAAATGAGGTAATGAGAAACCAAAATCCACAGTAGTATCCCGCATCTAGAGCACAGACAAGACGTTTCACCTTCTAAAAGCTTCCTCTGAACAGCTAATAGCCCAGAGCTGTACAGATACGGAAATGCTTACATTAACTCTGCTGCAAGAATGATATGGAATAGCGAACAGTTCTCAACATTAGCTCAGTGCCTTCCATCTTTTTAATTCTACTCCTTGGCCCATAACACATTCCCACTATTGGCCCATACTTAGCATTCTTGGATTTTATTTTTGTGTAGATAGCCTTTTATTCTATTGAACTACTTCAATGACCACACATGAACTAGTATATAAACCGGGAACAGAAACTTTGAGTATTACTCACACTGCTTTTTACCCACAGAAATAACAGTCAAGATCTTCATCACTGGACAATGACTGAATGCAATGTGGACTGCTCATTCAGGAAGAAGGGGTAGAATTTTAAAACAATGAAAAGTATAAATTTAGATTTTTAAGCAGAAGTCAGTATTACATTACTAGATTAATCAGGAGAAAGTTTGTCACGTTTTCACCATTCATCCAATAGTGATATCCTTTTCATCTACCCACTTACTTAATTTTCAGTGTGAAATAATAAAGACCTTTTATAATTTACCACCCCACACAGGAACTATAACTATTATTAATATGTCTATTTACCCATACCAAATAACAAAAATGTCAGATAATTTATAATAAGGAAAACTTTAGCAAAATGGGATGAATTTAAATTCTTGTTTTACAGAACAATCTGACCAATGAGCCATGTTGTACTTTAATTCATGTATTTCTCAATTTATTTATTTTCTTATTTAACAACTCCAAGGGTAACTTAATTATCTACACTTTTTCCACAGAACACACAAAACGGTAGATCCCTCTGCTACCCAGAACTAAATACTATCCATGCAACCTCGTATCTCGGCGTCATCGGCACTGTCGGAACTTCCTGCAGTGACGGAAAAGCTCTCTGTTAGCTCTGCCCAATATGGTAGCCACTGGCCACATGCAGCTTGAAATGTGGCCAGTGTTACTGAGGAACTGAATGTTTGTTTTTAATTACTCAATGTAAGTATTAATAGCAAGATATGTTTCCAGAGTGAGGTTTATCTGATCCTTTCCCAAAGAGGAAGGCACCTTTTATTTAAGTGACTTCAAGAGGGTAGGACAGGACTGATTACGCTCCATATATCATGCGTGCTCCTCAGTGGCCCAAGGTTTACACTCTCTTAAATAATGGGTTGAGATATGAAATCATTCTTTTACTCACTTATAAAAATAGCACCTTTATTGGTGAACCCTAAGGACATTGAGTAACACTAAATCTATCCTTTTGCTTATTACTCACAGATATCAACAAAATACAATTCACATTTTCCTCTTTAAATAAAAATCGGGGAACACAAGGATGTGCAATTACTATATTTATGATTTTGATGTTCATGCTTAGATATTCTCCATGTTTCCATAAAGATCTAATCATGTCTTCTTTTTGTTTCATTATATTATTGTTTAAAATAATTTTAGACTAATGTGTTTATCATTTCTTATATTATTAATTTAACTAATCATTATTATTATGCAATTATGTAACATTTTTGTCCCTTTTTAAAAATAAGACATGCCACCAACTCACTACCAACCCAGAACAACAACACTGCATTCACGTTCCCTATATCTATGTGCTCTCATAGGGGGAGCAGCCTTAGTCCATTTTACTTGAACTCAAAATTTCAGAAACATATTAACAGTAATCCCTGGTTCATTAGCTCCTTTTATTATTGGATAAGGTATAACACTCCTCTTTATTTATACTTTACTTATGATTTACTTGTAACAGTACAATCCATATTCATGAGCAAGAAAACAAAAGCTTGAAGTCACAATCCTTGGATACGGATAATGTGAGCACATTTCCCAGAGATATAGTGGAACTCAGTTCCCAACTGGGTTTAATCAAGTATTTTATTCAGATGCCCCACAGTGCTCATCATTGGTCCAGACTTGGTATTCTGTGCCTTTATTTAATATATTGTTCTTGACTTACTCATTGATTCATTAATAATAATACAATCAATGTCCACGAACTAGGAAAATAAAACCAGGATCCTTGAAGATATGAGTACGTCCATGAGAATTCACTCCCCCCAGAGCTAGAAAACTAGCTCTCCGTGCAATACACCTTAAAACTGCAAATATGAATTAATCCATTTCCTTGCATCATATCCATTTCATAAGCCAATGGTCCATGTTTGGGCCTCTTCCATTTAACATACTACATTTGATAACACACTAGGAAAAAGCCAAATTCTCCATTTCTTATGTTCTCCCCTCAGTAGTTTCACAGTCTGTAAGAGTATCACCAGAGAAGTGTTTAAATTCCAGTGGTACAGAAATAAAATGTTCTGAAAACGTCAAAAATGCCTTTCATCTTTTTGTCTAATGAGTTCAGTCATGCTGAAATGGATTAATCATAATTCTGAATTCATAACACATTTAAGTTATTTGTCAGTGCATGACCACCTTTGAACTGTTTATGTAGCTATTTATTCCTTCAAAACATCTCCATGAATACCCATGACCACACCCCCTAGCAAGAATATGAACTTTGATTATTACTTACACTGGCATCTTCTGTCTTTACCCAAAGAGGTAAAAGGCAAGATCATCACCATGAGATAATAGTCAAATATGACAGAGGATTTTCATTCTGAGGGGTAAAAAGCAAATTTTAAAAGGAATCAGCCTACATTTAGCTATTTTAAATGATCAATAATCAAGTAACCATAAATGTTGATTTGCATCCCATTTTCAACATTTGAAAAGACAGAGCTCTACTTTATATTTATCAACTTGGGTCTTTTTCATTTTAAATAATATAATTAACACCATTGAATCCAGCAGTGAAAAGAAAAATAGCTATAATTATCAGCAATATCTGTCTGTACTTGCTACCCACGGAGGGAAGATCATCTTTTCTGTTGAACTTTATTGCTGCAGAATTGGATATATGGGAGATTCAATTCATGTCATAATCTCACCAATGGTCCCAGCTTGACCCTACTTAATATACTTCTTAATTCACTCACTAATTGCTTTAATTACTCATGGTATAATAAGACCTGCTCTTCATTTTTTTAAAAGAATTTCAAGAAGTCTAAACAACTATCAAAACAGAACTGCAAAACTATTATTTATAAATGTCTATATGTGCCATTGGAAAGGCCTGGAGTTCTTTTGTCTTCTTATGGATAACAGTTGTGTAAAATAGGATGTATCATGGTCTTTACATCCAATTGTATGCTTTCCTTTGATGGATTGCTAGCTGCTAGCTTTTTAAAAAAATTGAAATATAAATGTACTCATTTGTTCACTTGCAATTATACTTCAATACATGTCAGCCCACCCACACTGGATAAGTACCTTGAATAATATTTACATCTGCCCTTATGTCATTACCCAAAAGAACAGCAAACTGGTTCCTTTAAAGTTTGTCTGGTTACATAAAATTGCATAAAAAGATTGCACTAATCATAAATGTGATTATATAAAAGTCTCATCATTACTCCATGCTCTCAATTATACAGTTTCCTCAATCAACTATTCATGTAAATGTATTTCCCACTCCTTAATAAAATGATCCATTGGCAATCTGGCTCAACACAGAACAAATACATTGACTGTTAGGTGCAGATGACCATATGCTCCTTACCAAAAAAAGCCTTGACTATTAATTTATTGGGACTAAGAATCTCAAAATTGTTGTAATAATTAACTGCTTCATTACATGCCTTAAAAAGTATACATATCTCCTAGTCTTCATTCATTGATATGTTTCTTTATTAACAGGCTAATTTTATTATAGTAATGCAATATTCATACCCCAAAACACAGAAGTCCAAGAATAAAGTGTTGTAGGCTCATTTCCCCACAAAGAGAGTCATGAGATATTTCTTTGTAACGGACCTCAGAGTTGCAGATGGGTTTAATCAAAATTCTTGTTTCAGAAACCCCATGACATTCATCATTGGTCCATGCTAAGAATTCTTTCTTCATTTATTGATTAATTTTCTGACTCACAAATAATAATGCAACCAAAAATTTCAAAAACAAGATCCTTGAATTTCAGGCATTTGTTCCATAGAGGTAATAAACCATGTTCTTTTGTGATGGTAAATCAAAGCTACACGTGTGGATGAGTCAACAGCCCTGCTTTCTTTCAAACTCACATTCAGCATTGCTTCCTGTGTAGCCCTTATTTAATTCATCCATGTGTCAAAGATGGTCCACTGAAAAATAACGAAACCACCATCTTCCATCACCTCTGGGCTGCTCCCAAGAGTTATCGGCCAGCTACGTCCACACGGGAATGCGTAAGTTCACCATGGTGGAATACAAAGAATAATATTAAACTGCTCTAAGGATAAATTAAATAATTTCTTGTTTTACAAGAGGTTCTGATTTAGACTATACATGATGTTTGGTTTATCACACATTCTGATCACTGGTCTACACTTGGAGATTTTTTATTTCATTTTTGTTGCACATTATTATTGCTTTGAAATTGTTCAGCTAATACCCATAAACAAACTACTCAAACAGAGCGTGTGAACAAAGGGACTTACTTACATTAGTGTTCCTTGCTCATGGTAACAATTCTTTATTAAATGATTTAATCCTACGTTCACTCTGGGAAGGAAAAAACAGATTTAGACTAGATTAAGATTTTTCTAATGGTCCTTAGTCAGACAGAACTAGGTAGCATTTGCCTCAAGAACACAATTTTTTTATCAATCTAGTATTGAATTCTTAGTTATAAATAATAAAGTCTATTAATAAAGTCCACCACCTAGCCCAAGATTAAGATCTGTAATCTATATAAAGATAAATATAAACATCTACATAAACATCTATAAAGTAGATGGTTATTTAATGGATTATTGACTGATGCAAACACTTTCTCTTTTCTTAATTTAAAAAAAAAACAAGCAAAAATTCAAAATACTGCCTCTTAAGTACAGATACTAGTGTTCCATGTGAAATAGGATTACAGGCTAAATGTATTCATATTACCTTAGAACATTAATACATGTTTTATTGCACTCTACTAAATTGCTGCATCGGTGGGCCTCTTAATCTTTTGTGTATACATGTATTTATTTATTCAGGCATTGATTCACTTGAAATAACACAATCCATATTCATGAGCCACAAAAGCCCAGGAACAAGTTTATTGAATTCTCCTAAGTTCTTCTTGCTAATTTCTACAGAGAATATTGACTGATTCTCTTTCCACAATGGACCTGAGTTACACGGAGGGCTTAATCAAAGGTATTCATTCAGATACCTCCACCAATATTCATCACTGATCCAGGCATGGCTTTCTACTTCTGTATTCAGACATGCCTCCTGGAAGTGATTTATTCATTTATAGAGTTACAAATAATAATTACATACTCAATAACTTTTAATGCCACAAACTGAGAACAAAAGCCTTAAATACAACCAAGATCTGTTCTTGCCCCTGTCCGCTCACTGACTTTTCACAATGAACATCTGTTTTACACATCGGGATTAATCAGCACCATGGCTTCGTATCAGTCAACACCTTACTTATGACTGGACCCCTTTCCCCTGATTCGACCACATATATAATCAACAACCACAGAACAATCTCAGTCCACAACTGACAACTGACAGCTGCCTCAAGGAGGTACTCCAGCCTCAAGGAGTTCACAACTGAGATCTTTACCAGTGAAGGAAGTATAAACAAATGGAAGAAGAACATTAAATGGGAAGCTAAACTGCTCTGAAAATATGTGAAATGTCCTCCATCACTTTCGTAACAGTCTTTAGTTGGGCTGAGTCAAATCATATACTTCAGTTCATGACACATTCCAGTCAGGGGCTCATGCGTGGCTCTCTTCAACTGCATGTGTTACTGAACTATTTATTTATTGAAATACTTTAGCGGGCTGCCGTGAGTAACCCCCACTGCAGCCTACACCACCAGTACTGATGTTTACTCACATCAGGCTTTATGCTCCTTAGGCTCAGAAGTCTTCCCAATGAGAGAATGATTCATCAGCGGTGTGGTGTTCATTTTGCAAAGGATAAAGAAAGCCTATTTTGAAAAACAGTGAAGATACAGGTAGCTTTCTTAACAGTGATATTTGTCAGGAGGGTAAGATAATCATAAACCCTACTTCATAATACAATCTCATTATTTTTGCAAAAATGACCCTCTTTTATTCATTTACTTAAATTTGATGATTAAGTAATATGAATACCATTGAATTCATTCCTCAACACAAAATAAAAACTGTAACAATTTGAGACATCTGACTTTACTTGCTGCCCACGTAGAGAGCGCCAAGATCATCTTCGTATTGGACTTATTTGTGCAGAACTGGTCACATTAAATTTGTTTCCTGGTATCATCTCACCAATCCACCACTATATGGATTTATGGATATGAATTCACTTGTTCACTTATTTTTTTATTATTCAAGGAATAAAACTTTTTTTTCTAAAGAAAACTCAAAATGGTTAAACACCAAGTCAGAGCCAAATTATCACAACTTGAAAAAGTCCAGGTGTATCTTTCAAAAAACGGGAGCACCTAGAATTTTTTCTAGAATATCTGTCATTGGAAAACAAAACAAAATAAATCATCATCCTCATATTAGAATGTACTCTTCACTGGTCTGTGGTTTGCTGGCTTTTTAAAAATAGATTGAGATGTAAAATTACACAAAGGCCAGTGTAATTTTCTTTTACACAAAGACAGTGTCTGTGATCTCATCGACACCGAACAAGAACACTGAACAAAATGTATGTCTGCCCAGTCACTCTCACCAAGAACAGACTTGCTTCTTTATAATTGTCTTAAAAAAATCAGTAAAAAGGAAAGATAGTATTAATTATGAGTGTTGTCACATAAAACATTCTAATCATTGGTTGCTGCTTGGCTCTCAATTATGTGGTTATTTAACCAACTATTTATAGAGTAAATGTATTTCCATTTCCTTAATAAAACGATCAGTCAGCAATCCAGCACCGACACAGACATAAAAACTCTGTTACGTACAAATGACGATATACTCCTTTCCAGAGCAGTAAGAGCCCTCATTATTCCTTTATGGGGAGTCAGAGTATCAGTCAGGTTTTAATAATTATCCTCATTTCATTACATCTTTTATAGAAAAAAAAAATGAGGGACATGACTTGTCCTTTTTTTCATTCACTGATACATTGTATTTGTTTGTGGGTCAGTTTTATCATAAACATACAATCCATCTTCACAAACCACAGAAGCCCAAGCACAAGATATCATGGGGTCACAGAGGGAATAATTACGTGTCTCTTTGTAACAGACCTCAGAGTCACATATGGGTTTAATCAAAACTCCTGTTTCAGATACCCCATGGTACTCATCATTGGTCCAGGCATGCTTTTCTTCCTTTATATCTTCACTTATTTGCTTATTCATTGATCCATGAAAAACAATATCATCAAACTTCAGGACAAGATCTTCCCATTAGTGGCTCTGTCCCCGTAACCAAAGAGACTAGATCTCCTTTTACAATGGACCTCAGAGAACATGTGTCAGCACTTACCACCCACGCTTCATACCAAATCCACACTTACCAATGGTCCTTCTGTGGCTTTCTTTTATTTAATTGTCTTATTTTTAAAGATGGTTCAGTGAAAAGTGATGAAACCACCACGTTAATCACTTCTCAAACATGTCTTCCATTTGCCTACAGGCTGCCACAGACAACAGTTACTATCCAGCACTATCCAATATGGAAATGCTTAAGTCATTTGTGGAGGAAACATAATATTAAATAGTTCTGAAAAATGAATAAAATGACTACTTTTTTTAAAAATCACTTCAGTTGTGTGAAATTAGGTTAAATGTAATTTTGATTCATAACATATTCCCATCACTGGTCCATACTTGAGGATTTTTATTTCTTTTACTGACATTGATTCTTTTAAAATACCACGAACACTCTTGAACAAAGCATTCCAACCAAGGATGGGAACTTCGAGTCTTACTTACATTTGCCTTTATGTCCTTTACACACAGAGCTAACCACCAAGATTTTGTTTGTTAGAAAATGAATAGTCCTATGGTCATTCTGTGAAGGAAAAGTAGAATTACCCTAGATTTTTAGTATTTGTTAATTATGAGGAACTACATAGCAATAAGCTTTGTTATTTTTTAATTTTTACTTTTACTTTTCAATCATGGAATACCACTGTTGAATCCACCATATAAGGAAAGAACAATATCAAAAATATCTTTATATTTTAACAGTTTTAACAGAATAAAAGATAATTTTAATGGATATTATTTTTGCAGGACTGGGTATATTTAAATCCTTATTTCATATTCTCAGTGACGGCTGATGCCAGATCCTATTTCATAGGTTCATTTGTTCACTCGCTTATTCATTTATTTAATTACTCTTGGAACAATTTAACCATATGCTCAATAAGTCAAAATGGCAAACCAGCCAGGAATTCAGAATAGAAATGCTATTAAATGCAATGATCTACATGTCCCTTATCAAAAATGGGAGTTGGTTACTAATTTTCTCTTTCTATAAACATCAGTAGTAAAAACCCAAAATAATAATTGTCTCATAAATCACTGTCCTCAATGATCTGTGCTTTCTCTTATTTTTAAATAATTAAGCTAGGATTTTATTCATTCATTCAATTATACCAATACATCAATATCTGAGTGCAAAGAAACTAGAAATAAATGCTGAATGATGTTAACATCTGTCTCTCTACATGCAGAAAAATGTGATTAGATCATTTTTGGGTTGTTAATAAAATTTAGCAAACACAGTCTATCAGTCCTAATACTTTTCATATGACTTGTCAACATGTGTCCACAATGTTGCTCATTAAATGAGATATATACTTAATCAATTATCTACTTATGATGTTTCCTGTTTTCTAAAAACAAACAAACAAACAAAAAAAGGAATGCAGCAAAAGCAGTGCTTAGAGGAAAAATCTATACCATTGCATGCATTAGAAAAGAAGATCTAAGTGTTTGGATGGATCAGTGAATAAAGAAAGTGGATATACATCTGTTTATACAGTGGAATATTATTCAACTTTAAAATAGGAGATCCTGTCACTTGCAACAAGATGGATGAACCCGGAGGACATTATGTTAAGTGAAATAAATCAGAAACAGACAGAAAACGCTACGTGGTCACTTACATGTGGAATCTAAAAAATGTTGAAGTCATAGAAGCAGAGAGTAGAATAGTGGTTACTAGGAATGATGAGATGAAGGAAATAGGGAGAGTTGGTCAAAGGTTCAAAGTTGCTGTTACGTCAGATTAATAAGTTATAGAGATCTAATGTATAGACCAATGACTATAGTTAATAATATTGTATCACACAGGGAAAATTTGCTACTAGAGTAAATATCAGGCCTTCCTATCACAAAAACAAAAAAGAAAAAAAATGTTAACTATGTGAGAAGATGGGTATGTCATAATTATTTCAGTATTATGTATATATTAAAACATCATGTTGTCCACATTAAATATACACAATTTTATTTAAAACCTGTGATCTAAGTTTTTCCTTTAGAAAGCTAAAGAAAGAACAAATTACAACCAAAGTAAACATTAGAAAAGAAAAAATAAAAATTAAGGCAGAAATCAATGAAGTTGAAAGCAGGAAATCAATAGACAGAATTAATGAAACCAAAAGCTGGTTCTTTGAAAAGATCAGTAAAATCAATAAGCCTCAAGCCAGGCTAACTAAGAAAAAAAGCAAGAAGACACAAATTACCAACATCAGAAATGAAAGAGGAGAAATCACTACAGAACCCACGGACATTAAAGACAGTCCAGGTGTTACAAGCAACCCTGTGACCACAGATCCGATGACCTAGATGAAAGGCATCAATCTCTCAAAAGACACAGTTTGCCAAAATTCAGTACAAGAAGAAATAGACAATATGAATACACCTATTATCTATTAAGGAAATTGAATCAATAATTAATAACCTTCCAAAACAGAAAGCACAAAGCCCAGGAGGGGCCACTGGTGAATTCTACCAAATATACAAGGAAGAAACTACATCATCTACAATCTCCTTCAGAAAATAGAAGCAGGGAAATACTTTCAAATGCATTCTGTGAGGCCAACATTACCCTAATACCAAAAACAGATGGCAACTTTATAAGAACACTACAGTACCTCTCATGAACACAGATGCAAAAATTCTCAACAAAATATAAGCAAACTGAATACAACAATGTATAAAAAGAAATACACCATGACCAACTGAAATTTATCACAAGTATTCAGGCTGGTTTGACATTCAAAAGTCAAATAATGTAATCTATTATATCAACAGGTTAAGAAGGAAAAATCACATGATAATTTGTGTTCGGAAGCCATGGCTAGTGTTTTGAATTAAGAATATATAGACTATGACCTGCTGAATGAGGGAGCACAAGCCACCCACCTGGGGTCAGCTCCTTCAGGATCTGAAAGCTCCCACTTGGAGGAGGTGAGACTCATGGAGTTGTTTTGATTGAAGGTGCTGTGTCGGTACATCCACACAAAGAAATCAGAGTCACAAGATTATTACTTGAAGCAAGGTGCATAACTGAACAGGGGGAAGAGCAGTCGTCTGTCCCAGGCCATGAGTGAACAAGAGACAGAGAACAGGGCAGCGTGCACCCAGTGCTAATAAGGTGGTTGGGGTAGAAGTCACTGACTTTTCATGGGCTTAACTCTAAGTGGTTATGTTAAAAAGTATCTGGACAAAGTAAAGCAGGAACTTAGAGCAGGCTCCGTAAACTCAAGTCATTATCCAAATGCCCAGACTCTTGGTTAAGAGCTGGGTTATTATACTATAAAATGTCTAAGCAGCAAATCAGAGAAACAAAGTTGGTTTTCTCTAAAGTTGTTTTTCTTATCACATCATATCAATAGATGCAGAAAACTAATTTGACAAAATACAACACCCATTCATGATTAAAAAAAGAACTCTCAGTAAACTCGGAATAGAGAAGAATTTCCTCAACTTGATAAAATATGTACACAAATTTCCTACAGCTAGCATCACACTTAATGATGAGAAACCAGAAGTGTTCCATTAAGTTCAGGAACAATGCAATGATGTCCCTATCAACACTCCGTTTCAACAATGTGCTGAAAGTCATAGCTAATGCAATAAGGCAAGAAAAGGAAATAAAAGGTACACTATTAATGAAGGAAGAAATAAAACTATCTTTGTTAATAGTTACATGATCATCTACATAGAAAATATATATAAAAGTCAACTGCTTTCCTATACACCAGCAATACATAAGCGGAATTGGAAATTTAAGACACAATACAGTTTACATTAGCACCCAGAAAATGAAATACTTAGGCATAAATCTAATGAATATGTACAAGATCTAGATGAGGAAAACTACAAAACTCTGATGAAAGTAATCAAAGAACTAAATAAATGGAAATATATCCCAAGTTCATGGGTAGGAAGATTCCATATTGTCAAGATGTCAGTTTTTTCAGCATAATCTATAGATAGATTCAACGTTATGTCAATCAAAATCCCAGCAAGTTATTTTGTGGATGTACACAAATGGTTCTACAGTTTATATGAATAAACAGAAGACCCAGAACAGCTAACACAATATTGAAGAACAACAAAGTTGAAAGACTGGCATTACCTGACTTCAAGACTTACTATAAAGCTAAAGTAATCAAGACAATGTGGTATTGGCAAAAGAAGAGATAAACAGATTCATGGAACAGAAAAGAGAGCCCAGCAAAAGGGCTGCATAAAGACAGTCAAAGGACCTTTGACAAAGCAGCAAAGACAGCACAATGAAGCAAGACAACCTTTACAACAAATGGCGTTGGGACAACTGGGCATCCACATGCAGGAAAAGGAACCTAAACACAGACCTTACACCCTTCACGAACACTAACTCAAAACAGATCAGAGACTGAAATGGAAAATGTAAAACAAAATTCCTACAAGTTAACCTAGAAGAAAATCTAGATGACCTTGGGTGTGGCGATGACTTTTTAAATAGTACACTGAAGACAAAATGCACGAAAGAAATCATTGACAAGCTGGACTTCATTAAAATTTTAAGTTTCTACCCTGAAAAGAAACTGTCAACAAAACAAAATACAAGCCACAGACTGGGAGATGGTATTTGCAACAGACGCATCTGATAAATGGCTGTTACCTAACACAAAGAACGCTTAAAAATCAACATGAAGACAATGAGCCAAAGACCCAAACAGACACCTCTCCAAAGGAGAGATACAGATGACAAATAAGCATAGGAAGAGATGCTCCACGTTGTATGTCACCACGGAAACGCAAAATAAAATAACTGTGGGATATCA